AAGGGAACTGACAGCTGAACAGAGTCTGCCACAACAAGCATGAGCTACCTGAGTGGGTAGAGGGAAAGGGTGAGAGACAGAGAGAGAGAGAGAGAGAGAGAGAGAGAGAGAGAGAAGAAGAGGAGGAGAAGAAGAGGGAGAAGGAGAAGAAGAGGGAGAGGAGAGGGAGAGGGACAAGGAGAGAGACGGAGAGAGAAAGTGACAGTGTAATTTGTTAAGAGATTGAAAACATTTAGCAGTTTGTGTGGGAAGATGCAGAACAATGCTATATGTTAAACCAGGCATGATGGTGCCATCATTACGCCTATAATCCAGCAAGAGAATTACGCCTGTAATCCAGCAAGAGAATTGCTGGGAGTTTGAGGCCAGCCTGAGCTACAAAATGAGTTAAAGTTCAGCCTGAATTGCATAGTGAGATCCTGTCTCAAAAATGACCAAAAGAAAAAAAAGTTATGTGTTCAGTGCTTAAAATAATATTTTTAAATATTTTTCAGAAATCAAAATTTAAAAATAAAAAAAAAGCTTTGCTAAAAAAAATTTTTAAAAGACTTAAATGGAAATATATAGCACATGTTCATAGATGAAAATATTATAAAAATGTGTATTTATCTCTAATTAATGTATTAATAATAAAATGCATTAAGAACTAGCTATTTGCCAGGTGCTGCTTCAAGAAATGGACATATATTAATAGGTGCCGTTAACATAATTGTATTTATTTAGGTAAATTGGCTGTGTACACTTTATATTCACAACAATCCTGTGAGATAAGTACTGTTATTATCTTCATTTTATGATTAAGGAAACTGAGGCTCAGTGAGGTTAAAGAATTGCCTAATGATGGGGAGTGGTGATGCATGGCTACGATTCTAGCATTCTGGGAGGCTGAGGCAGGAGAATTGCAAGTTCAAGCCCAGAATAGGCAGGTTAGTTACTTAGTTTTTTTTTTTTGTTTGTTTGTTTTAAGAATGATCAGGTAATGGATTAACCCTACCAGATATTTAACCAAAAATTAAGGTTTTGATAATTCAAATTGTATTTTAGTAAAAAAAAATGGACAAATAGATTAATGAAACAAAACCTACATTTAGAAAGATATGTGTGAAAATTTAACATGAGATAGAGGAGGTTTCAAAAGCAGTGGGAAAATGAGGATACTTAAGAAATGCTACAGAAATTATTGATTTTCATAAATGAAAAAGAAATTTCAGCACCAACCAACACATAAACCAAAATTAATTCCATAGTACTTATACATTAAAATATATCTAAATACTTTAAATTCTAAAATGGTTTTATCTTCTAAATGGAAAATATAAAATGGAAAATAATTCTCAGCACAGTAACAACAGAGAAAAACTAAATTTATTTGACTACATAATTCAACAAATAGCTATTGCACACATTTCATGCACCAGATATTGGGAAGTACATAAAATGAAATACAATCTATGGGGTTTATTTTTCAAAAATGCAGAATGAAACTAAACACAAATAACCAATCAAAAAATGTACTAGTACTTACAGCAATATTAAGATCCTTAACAAATAAATAACATACAAATTGATAGGAAAGTGCTCAATTTCCAGGGAATAAGTGAGAAAGGAGTACAAACTGACAGAGAAAGGAGCTGTAACAAATATTTCATAGGTGCGCATTTAAAAGAAGTTAAACAGGGGTCAGGGATGGACTTTAGAGGTAGACTGCTTGCCTAGCATGCATGAGGCCCTGAGATCTCTAGCACCACAAAAGGAAAAAACAATTCAAACTCACTAATCAAAGAGATGTAACAAAAAAAACAGATGATTGTGTATAACTTCCAAATTCACAGTGTAGGTGAGCATGGAGTGGGATCTTTCAAATATTGCTATCAGGAATACAATTCATAGAAATTAGTGCCGCCCTATGCAAAAAGAATTTTTTTAAACTATGCACCCTTTAACAAACTAATCCTAGCCTACAGATCCATCCTAATGGAATAATTGGAAGTGGTGGCAAAGAGTTACATGTAAAATATTAATCCCAACATTGCTTTCATACAAAACTATTGAGAGAAGATACAATTTAACTATGAAAGAATAGACACTGTTCCGGTAAATAATCACACTTCTATATAATGGAGTGCTAATGCACTCATGCTGCATTATATTTATAAAAACTTTGTGGACATAAATATAATTCAGTAGAAACAGCAAAACATCAAGTTTTACAAACTCTTAGTCATGAAAAAATTTATAGAGAATGGATAAGAAAGAAGTATGTCAAATTCCTGTTAGAGTTTAAAACGGAGTGATTTGTAAAATATTTCTCCAAATTTTCATTATGAAAAACAAAAGGTAGGCTCGGAAACTAAGCATGTACCAGTATGGTAATATAAGGGAAAATTATTAAATGTGTCAGCTGTTTTTCTTGTTAGTACACTAATTTTACTTTTTCCTGATTGCTAAGTAATATTTTCACTGCTATTTATATCATCATTTTCCCTCATTATTATAGACAGTGTTACAGTATTAATAATCCTGAAAGTTGTTAGTAAAAATGATGGAAATACTTCTTCCAAAGTCGGTAAAACAAGCTCTTGAACATTTACAATCTGAAATAATACTTCTGTCTACGGCCATCCTACTCTGAAAGCACCCGATCTCATCTGAAATGATACTCCAGGAGTCTTATTTAAGCCTAAATGCAGGAATGATTTCAGCAAAACATTTTGCTCCATTTTAAAAGTGATTAAGCAAGCTCAAACCACACTCATTATTGTCAAACAGAATCAGACCAGGAGTTAACTAATAGCCATACATTAGATAACTTTCAACAAAACGTGTAGCTATGAACCAAAAATCAGATTTTATGTCTGGACTCCTGTTCATTCTTTGGTAAGACAGCTAGAGTAGTGGTTCACTCATTTGAGAGCCCAGAAAATTCACCAGGGTGTGAAAAATCCCATCTTCCAAGTGTTTTAAAACATAAAAAAACAAGTGTATAACTTTTTCCTTCTCATTCAGCAGCCTTTCTATAATAGCTTTACTATACCTTCTAAAATTAGTTTTTGCCACATTCCAACCAAAAAGAAAAGTTCTTTAAATTTTTTAGTTTTTAAAAAGTTTTGTACTGGTAGGTTTGCAGTATGTAACAGATGCATTCATCATGGGGGATTTTTACGTATCACATCTTGATCCTTTTTACATCTTCTCCCTTTCCCTTACCTCCCTCCTTCTCCTCTCATCTCCAGATCTCTATCCTCTCTCTGCATTCTGTCTCCTTGTTTCTCATCAGTCATCATTATTTTGCTCTTTATTTACACCGTGGTAGAGAAACTATGAGATATTTAAACTTCTACGTCTGATTTATTTCACTTAGCTTTATGGACTCAAAGTGCATCTGTTTTCCTACAAATGACTCCAGTTTATCCTTCTTTATGGCTCAGTAGTCCAAAAAAGAAAACTCAGTTCATTGCTGTCTGCATATGATTTTTTTTCTACTTTGAAATTTAGCATAAAACATTTGCATAAGGAAATAAAGGGAGAAACTGCTATAAGTGAAAAAAGATAACTTGTGATAATTTTTTGTTTGTTTTCTTTCTTCTTTTACTTGGAGTTCTCTGACTTACGCTTCATTCCCCACAGACACTGATCACAGAACTTAAAGTCAGGGGGCAAAGCTCAGAGTATTGACCCCACTTAGATAAGGGAAAGAGCTTCCATATTTGCCTTCCATGTTATCCGGGACTAAAGGCTTGGGAGCAGGCCTCGGTATGGTAAAGATAACACTGAAATGTCCAGACACAAGGGTTTGTTTTCTGGAGGAAACCAGTCATGGTTAGAGATTGTAGTGTGTGTAGTGTGTAGTGTGTAGTGTGTAGTGTGTAGTGTGTAGTGTGTGTAGTGTGTAGTGTGTAGTGTGTAGAGATTGAGTGTGTGAATGTGTATGTAGTTCCCACTTGGAAATCCAGATTTAAAAAGATTGAAATTAATTGAATGTCTCTAAACTCTGAGGTTAGACACACATGAGGCTCAGGAGCAGCAGGCTGATCATTTCTATAAGAAAATTGAGTTGTAGAAGCAAAATACTACACCAACTTTTTCAGCCGTGTGTCCATTTAATTGTGATCATACAACATCTAATTGTCTAACTGTAGTAAAAACTTTTCTACAAAATAGATAAATAGATAGTGTGTGAGGTCTGAAAGTGCTTGGAGGGCAGTCCCCACTTTTAGAGATGAAGACAGTGACCAAGCAGGACTTAGAGTTTGTCCCCAAATCACCTAGCACCCAACACAGTATGAGTCAGGGGCAATCTCGAGCCTCTCGGTGACCAGGTCAGGGTCCTTGGCCCTGCAGCTGTGTTTGCTCCTCAGGCCTTAGTGATACCTCCTGTGCCTGCCACACCACCTTCCCGTGGCTCTTGTGTGACTATGGAGGTCGGTGGGATCCCTGGCTTCTGGACCCATTTCCAACGGGACAACCCTGCCTGGCCCTGTCACTCACATAGAAACGAAGTGCGTTAGATAGAGGGAAAGGAGAGAGACCCACTTTTGCCTTCCTTAAAGCATCTCAAGCACAAACCACTTGAGGTTCCTTGACTACGTCTACCTCACTTGACTCACCTAAAAATGGCAGATAAATCTATCTGCCCTTCCCGCTTCTCTAAGCTCGAAACAGAAAAGTGGAAGTGGAAGGTAATATACAAGGGGACGCGGCAGTCTGGGAGGAAACGTGGCAGTCTGGTTTTAGATGGAACGATGGGGTGCTTGCCAGGGTCTTCGTACTTTGAAAGATGTTTGCGCCCTTCTGAGTAATGTGCCCCTAGGCATTTTCCCCAGAGGGTACCAAGTTCCCTGCAGAGACAGAGCTAGGATGGGGGAGGCTGGTGCCGCCCAGTGCAGGGCAACCTTCTGGCCTCTGCCAGCCGGTGCTCAACCAACTGCCAGCTGCACCTGCGCAGCTCGGCCTGACAAGTGCCTCTTGGGGCCTCTTCCCTAACAAATGAAAAAATAATGCCCTTGAACGAGGAGTGAAACTGAACTATCTAAGGAAAACACGGTGAGCAAACACTGAGCCCTAGAGAAAGCCTCTGATTAGCAGGGTTCCCCTCGGCAGCGCACGCTGGGCGCCCAGTTTTGGCTGCAAGGAGGCAGCAGGGCCAGGGCTGAGGCCATGTCCACCACCACGTTCCAAGTGGTGGGCTTCCTCCTGTCCTTGCTCGGCCTGGCCGGCTGCATCGCTGCCACGGGGATGGACATGTGGAGCACCCAGGACCTGTATGACAACCCCGTCACCTCCGTGTTCCAGTACGAAGGGCTCTGGAGGAGCTGTGTGAGGCAGAGCTCGGGCTTCACCGAGTGCCGGCCCTACTTCACCATCCTGGGCCTTCCAGGTAGGTGCGGGCATCCTGGGCAGGACCAGGAGAGCAGGCCTGGGCGAGTCCAGCCACTGGGCTGCCTGACCCAACCGTGCTGCCGCCTCCAGGCGTGCAGACGGACCACAGAAGGTGTGAATAAGAGCACAAGCTGGCTGGGTGTCACAGACAGCGCAGTCACACAGGAGACAATGGGAGGATTCATGCTTGGGTCTGAGGAACTGCTTGCCGGAGACCGGCTGCAGGAAGACTCGGTCTCTGGTAAGGGATGCTAGGGTTACCCGGAATAAACTACTGATTCTCACGGAGAGAATAAAGTATGTGCTCCTGTGTGCAAGTGACTTGTTCCTGCCAGTACATACATGGGAGCAAGGAAAGAGGATGGCACTTCGTTTTAGCCAGAAAAGTTTATCAAGAGCTAATTTAATTTTGTTTTCAATTAAGCTTTTCTCAAAAACTTGCAGTCTCTTTCAGTGCCTCAAAATTGCTACTAAATTATAATTTCATTTTTCTGAATTTGTATGGAGAACATCTGGTATACTCTTCCAAAAAAATCAGTATATGTCAGGATGTAAAATTACAATTATATTATAACAATGTATGAATATAAATATAATCACAAGTATGACATTCTTTCATGCTTGCAGATGAAATAAGCTAAATGTTGTTTGTAATACAGATAATCATTGCAAATGTGCACCATAGCAACTTTGCATTCTGCATATTATGGGAACTGTATTTTTTAAAAGCAGTAAATAAGAAAATAATAGAGCAAGTTAAGGTGACCAATAGGAGGGTGTAGTTTTTCCTCTTTCAAGCAGGTAGATGGAAATAAATTGCCAAGAAATTTTAAAGAGGCTTTGGAGTCCTTGAAATTGAATTGTGAAAAACAATTCAACTAATTCATCCTTATTTTCAGAAAGGAATAAAAGAAGAACTGTCAGAATACAAGAATTATTTATTTCTTTTCTTTTCTTTTTTTTTTCTGGAAACCGCTCATTGCAGAATGAACAAGATCACTACCTCCACAAAGGACAGGCTTGGGAAAGAAGCTGGCCCAAGGGAAGGCAGCCAGACTGGCCAGGGAATGTGCTGTAACAAGGGGAGAGGTCAGAGGAGGGAGTACAAGGCTTAGGTTGTTGAGTGGCTGCCTACATCTAATGTTAACTGTTAGTTAGAAAAAAGATTGATCTTATGCTCACAATTAACTCGTGACTATTCATGCTCAGTGACCGCTTCTCAGGGCTCCAGCGAACACTGCTGATCTCTTGCTCACTCTGTATCACAATGGCCCTTCCAAATGTTCCCACAGTCCTGTATGGCCAACCCCATCACTGCTATCTCGCCTTTGTCTTCTTATTCACCAGAGCTCCTACCCTCCATGAGCCCCCTCAGAATCTCATCTGCACTCCTCAGCAGTTCTGCTCCTGTACCACAAAATCATCTTCTCTTTTCCTGGCCAAACCCAGCTCTCCACTAGTATTATGTAGGGTTTCCTCCTTTGACCATGACTGAAGGTCAGTAGAAGAGGAGCCTCTTCCAATCACTGGCTCCCAATTCTCAGTTCTCCTTACACATTTCAAAACCCAAGCATCTCCCATGATCCTCTATTCCTGAATTAATTAGGTACAAACATGGCAGCCTCATACCTATGCCTTCCTATATACCTCACCTACTTTTCCTGATTTCTGTTCTGGGCCTCTTTCCCCATCCTATGGTTTTCCCTTTGCATTTACTGTATTTTGGGCTTGCTCACAGACACCTCAAAATGTCTCCTTTACCACCCCAGTTGCCTTCTCCCTAAAGTTTCTTCACAGCCTCATACTATATAACACCCCACAAGCCAGAGCATTCTCATGCATCGAGCACATTCTGCCTTCATGACACAGCTTACAAATCTGAGAAGCATTTATTGTGTACCACAGATAGAGCACAATACAACACTACCCTTGCCCACTCCTATAAACCTCAGTGGAGGGGACAAGCATGTGCATAAATATTCAGGCAAGGGTGTTACATGTCCTAGGGCTTTTATGTGGGTGTTTGGAGTACCAGAGACTCGGTGGGAAGTATCAGGAGGGGAACAAGTCAGAAGGATTTCACTGTTTAAGTCTGAACCTTAGATTACCGGTTTGGTTATTTGTACACTTTCTCACTCAGCTTTTGTGTAGTTGCCCCCATCAGCTAACTAGACAAGGCCTATTTTCCCAGTTCCCAGCATAGGAAATGGCAAAATTAGTGATCAGCAAGTGGTTGATAAACTAAGTTGAACTTTGGATAATAAGAATATTTTAAATGTCTGTATGACCCATGTGAACCAAACACAAGTGAAAAGCTTCCAAAAGAGAGAAGATTGCCTTTGTACTATAGTTTTTGCTATTATAGCCCCAGGTATAGAAAAGAACCTGGTTTTCCTCCTGCCTGAAACAGATTCATTGTTCAGCCAACTATTCACTTAACAAATATCTTTTGCACACCTACTAAGTTACAGGGACTAGCTTCAGGGACTCTGTTAGAGTAGTTAATGTCAACCACTGCAAGGAACAACCCTAAACATCTCAGTAGCTTAACACAAGTTTACTTCCTGTACACATGAAATCCACGGAGGGACAAGCAGCCTCCATGTAGCCACACGATTCAAAGACGGTAAAAAACAAGAGAAGAGAGTACACAAAAGGCACAACTCCTTTCAACCACCTCGGCCTGCAGAGGACATGTCATCTCCATTTGCAATGTCTTGACCAGATCTAGCCATATGGCCCCAAGAGCCAGGAGACATAGAGCTCACGCCTGTTTGGGGGGCACCCACCATGTCTGCCTCTGTGACACTTGAATAGTAACTGCTTGTGCTAAAACTTACCCACCAGGCTGGTTTCAATTCTGATACACAGATAACTTCTTAAACACTAAACAGTCTGTGCAAAAGAGGACATGCTGTTGACTTACATTCACTGTTCAAACAAGTATTAATTTCTGCTACATACCAGATATTGTCCAATGCAAGAAATGTGTGGTTTTAGAAGCCAGAAATTTTTATAGGGGTGGCCTGAAATCAAGAAGAAGGTATGATTTGAGATGATTTTCTGCCTTATAAAAGTCTGTGGTACTTATGTGATGAATATAAATATGATAATGGAAAAAATTAGTTTTTTCCAAAACGTAAGGAAGAAAGAAAAAAGAAGGGATATTGGGTAAGTTAGATGCTTTTTTTGCAATACTAGAAGTTGAGCCAATTGCTGTATTACTGAATTGTGTTCCTAGTCCTTTTTAAAAATTTTTTTGTGTCAGAAAGTCACACTAAGTTGTTCAGGCTAGCCTGGAACTTGCAATCCTCCTGCCTCAGCCTCACACTTTTATTTGCTGTCAGACCAGACAAAGAGCTCATAGAGAGGAAACCCAGTTGCTACCCAGGAGCTCTGAGATGTTCCAAATCCCTAAAGGGAGAGATCTTTAGAGTTTTAGGACACAGAAAGAAAGGAAGAAAGAAAGAAAGAAAAAAGAAAGAAAGAAAGAAAGAAAGAAAGAAAGAAAGAAAGAAAGAAAAAAGAAAGAAAGATTTCTTCACATATTTTGAACACTGTGGACATAAATGTGATGTCTTGCAGCAATGCATTTAGGCCTCTTGAAGGGGCTTTATCTTCTCTGTGTCCTAGAGGACCTCAAGATGCCTGTCTTGCACCTCTGTAACACTCTGCATGGCCTACAACAGGCAACAGGGCTAGGGCAGGAGGGTGAGAGTAGATGCTGCTTTACATCCTATCTCCCAGTTATGCTATAAAAAGTCAAGCTGTCCTAAGCCAATATGGGAATGTGGTAGGGGTGGTCCCAGCATCCACATAGAGGTATCCCCCAGACCTACTTGTCTGAATTGTGGAGATAGGATTTCACTGAAAGCCAGGAAAAGCGTTTCTTAGGCTGAGTTTGCAGAAAAGGTGGTACTTTAAATCGCTGGTAATTTGTGGCCATGGTGAAGAGTGTGGACTGAAGAGCAGCAGTCCTCATGCAGCAGGAGTGGCTGCACTGCAAATTGGAATCCAGAGATACAAATATTTGCTTGGTGACTTAGATTTGGCAGACAGAAGGAATAAGGAAGAAGACTACCAGGGGAACAAAGCTCAACAGAAACTCAGAAATAGCAGGCAAAGACATAAGGAGGTGGAGTAGATAGAGAGGGAGATGGAGGGGGCTGTGAATACTGTGGGGCTCCTGAGAGAGGTGGGAGGAGCAACACTAACCAGCCAGCACCCAACGCCTAGAGAGCACTTGCCTCCAGCTGCCTACCATGCTTTTGAAGGGTGTGGAGGGAACTAGGGGGACAGTCAAAACAGTGGAGCGGGGTAGAATGCTTGGAGATAGAAATAGAAGATTTTAGGGAGGTGGTGAGAGTTTAATTGTGACCTAGAATTCAAGAAAGCACCTCCGTCCAACAGAGAAGTAAACCTTAAAGTGTTTGTCAAAAGGCCTGAAGCAGATACCTATCATACTTTTAGTTAATAATTATAATAATCACTAGCAGTTACTAAATTCTTTCCAAATACAAGCTCTTTTCTTGCAAAATCTCATTTAACTTTTCATTCGTCTGATGAAAATGTATCATTTCGTCTGTTCAGAACTTACAGCCATAGAATAAATTAATTCAACTTAACAAGCTGTATTATGTAGCTGAACGAGGTGAGAGGTGGTGGTGGCAAAGCTATTTACCTGTCTATTATCAGCTCGGGGTAACTTGCAACTTAAGATTCCTCCTCATTGTATTCCACACAGTCAGCGCTGTGTGCAGTGATCAGTGCCATTTGTCGGGCTGCACATACACTCTCCACTTTATTCCTCAGAACAATATTAGCTTCATGATCACAAGATAGAAATGAGGCTCAGAGAGGAGGGAAAGGAACATGCCCAAGATCCCATGGATAGAAGATGGCAGGTTAAGAATACATGTGGAAAGGCTTCCAAGTCTGTATGCTTTTCCATTGCCCATGCCTCACCTCTGCTTCCAGACAGGATTGGCAGCCTTTAGA